TTAGCCTCCAACGGAAGGAGGGACACTGCCTCCACCATAAGAGATATGCAGAAAATAATGAGTACTGAAGCAAAACGTTCCTATCTGATGGACTTCCCCCACCCAGGGGAGCAGGGGGGCACAGAGGGCACAGCCTCTGGTTGAAGGGAAGAAAGTTGGAGGCTGAAAGGGAAGATAAGGATGAGGAAGTACTGAGGGTCCAACCCAGGTTGATAACTGAGGGCACCCCTGCTTGGATGTGTGCTTTAATTTTTTTTCTAGTGGGTTTCAGCTGCCCAGTGAAAGAGTGGAGAAGGCTGATATTTATATAATTCAGGACTGGTTTTTAGTCAGGTGGCTGTGACCAAAAGATAGAGGAGCTAGGGAGCTGAAAGTGTTCACAAGAGAGATTGTCATTCTGAAGCTGGCTGGATAGGGAGGGGAGCGCGAGAAGGGGAAAGTGGGCGGCTGGGGCAAGAGTGGCAAGACCCAGGGCTGGAGGTCTTCATGCAACCACAGTGAGTGTGGAAGAGTGCCTAACAAGCAAGCTGGAAAGGGAGGAAGTTGTGACTGCAGAGTGGGATGACAGCAGTCCTGATTTAGAAGAAGGAGCCTTTTCTGATGATAAGGCTCATCAGGAAGCCCTGGGGGGCGTGGGCGCAGAGGTGAGTGAGGGAAAAGGACAGTGTAGAGGAAGGCTAAGATAAACTGAGAAGCAGAGGGTGAGCGGCTGTGGGGACACTAACACTTCCATGAATGGTGACCATTGATGGGACCAATAAAAGGACAGTACGCTGGATACTACCAAGTCTTTGAAAAATGGTGCAAAAATGACGTCTGGATGACAGCACCAACATATTTGTACGGCACAACCTCCAAAGGTTTGGGAGTTTTTCAGAGAAGGAGCAACGGTCTGAGGAGCAAGGGCACTTTCCAACACTGGGATAAATGGGAAAGAGGGAAAATAAACAGACCTACCGGAAGGGGCTGGGGAAAGCAGTGTTCTAGAGCACACCCGGGATCCACTGTGACAGTGGTTCTCATCCCCGGCTAGACTAGAATCATCCAGGGAGTTAAAAAAATACCCATGCCCACCTCCCATCCTAGACTGGTAAATCAGAATCTCCGGAGCCCGGGGATTTGTGCCACTCACTCCTTCCCAGTAATTCTAACATGCAAATGAATTTTAAAACCACCGATTTAAGACAAGGAAGGGGATTTTGGTGAAGGGATTGTAGACACAGAGAGATTTCCTCATTAGGATAGAAAATGGCCTGATGCACCGGCCAAACTCCCAAGTGTCCTCCAGGAATTCACACTCACAAGGTCTGAGTGGTGCCAGCAGGTCCTTCTCCCAAGTTCACCGCTCTCTTTCATCTTACAGCAGAGATTCCCATCCGACAGCTAGATGTGGTCTCTAAGAGGACCCTGTGTAACTTTTCTGTGTAACTTTCCTCCATACTTTTCCCAGGTGATGTGAGGGGAAGCAGGTGCTGTCAAACAAGCGTCTATTGAAGAGGAGTTGTTGTGAGGTGCTCTCAGCACTGACACAAAACAAGCCGCCTCTTTCCTCTGCGCCTCCTTCTGACTCAGTAATATGTAGTGGTAGCATTGGTGTGGAGGATGACAAGCATGACAATGATTCGAGTTAACGTCACAGAGCAGTGTCAGGGCCCACACTTGCGATTTACGAGTGACTTGTGCAAGATCACCAACTAGTACCTCATATAAGCACAGCTGGCCTCCAGAGACGAAGGCCTTCCCCACTCCACTTCATGCTCCTTAACTACAAAGCAGCCTAAATTTCCTTCCGGTTTTAACACTCTGATTCTTTAGCTCCCATTGGCTTTCTTCTCCCTAAGAGACAGGGTAGATTGCAGAATTCAAAGGACTTGAAGGCTAGCAGTTTTACTGGAAAGTTAAGGCAGGCTTCTGGAAGTTGGTCTGCGGTGCACAGAAGGGGAAATGACATCATGAAGTTTCCTCAGCCTATTCCCCACAGGTGCCCCCCTGGGGCTTCAGGGAGCTACACAATAGCTGGCTTTCTTTCTTTTTTTTTTTTTAAATTCCTGCTCCCGGAGCCACCTCTCTCCCCCCGCAGGTAGACAAATAATCTCGCCTGGATGGTCAGACTTCACAATCTAGTAATTGCCGGAAAGATTCTGGGTGGTATTTCTTAGCCGAGTGAAAGTTAACTCAAATTATTTTCTTCTTGTATTCTATAATTTTAAACTAGGTAAATTTAATCTCGCTTCTTAGCTCAGCGTTCCTGCAAATTAAACATGCAACTATTAATGAAAATCATTTCCTTTTAAAAACATATCCTGAAACTCGATGTGGGGCATTCCCAATATATCCATAAAGCAAACAAGACAGCTTAATTGTTTGTTTCTCCAAGGGAAGAAGTTAAACTCGGAATTAATTTGGTTCAGCCTGTGAAACAATTCGTTTGCTCTGCCTAATTCTGCCAATTAAAGAACTTTTCTCAGACACAATTAGCATGTAAATCAGCAGCAGAGCCAATGAGGGCGCCTCGGCGGCCCGGGCCTGCTGGAGGTGCCTTCCCGGGGGACCGCGAGGACCCTCGGGTTTAGGGACCGTCTAGGGTGCAAGGAGGAGCTCGGAACCCGACTCGGGTGGCCTTGCCGCCTCCAACCCAATCCTGGGTGTTAAACTGCGCAGCCCAGGAGGTGGCCGTCCCCGCCCGTCAACGCCCTTCCCCCCGGTCCCAGCTGAATTCGAAAAGGACCTCCGCGAGCGGGCGAGCCCCGAGTCCGCCGAACCTCACCTCTCGGCCCGCCGCCCCCAGGCCCCAGCCCCTCCCGAGCCAGCCCCGCGCGTCCCGGCGACTGCGCGCGCACCCAGGGCCGCGCCCCCCGATTGCTGCCTGGAATCCGTAGCGATTTTGTTCGGGGAAAGGTGGGGATAGCGGCCCCTGCTGGTATCTCTGGCGACCAGCAGAGGATGACTTTCCCCCTTAACTATTATTTCCCCCACCTTCTCCAGATAGTTTGTGCAAATAATACTACTATTTATACATGTATGGTGTTGCCGCACGTGCATTTATTCTTCGTGAGTCCTCGTGAGCAGATGTCTGTACGTAACTTGGGTTTCCAGCGGGACCACAAAAAAGAGAACTGGGCGCTTATTAGTGACCCTAGCCGGGCTGGGGAACAGGTACTGTTTCTGAAGCACGTGTTTGAGGGCACTCGGCCTAAGGCTGAATGAGACCCCTGATCTCCCTCTCAATGCTTTTCTTGGCCGACCCCATGACTAGTAACTATTGCTTCGAGAACTGCTTGGCCGCCCAGTGTTAGGTTCTCTAAAGGCCGTGGGTACGGCCCGCACCATCTGCGAAGCCCACTTGGGAAGCAGCGGCCGCGGCGCGCAGTTGTTCGCACAGCGAGAGGACGCGGCTGGAGCGCTCAGTGGCCGGGTTTGGGGGACTCGGTGTGGCCGGACCCGTTGGCACAAGCCCGTAACGGCAGCAAGACTTGTTGGCGGATGACTGTGCAAGCGATGGAGGAAGGCCGTGCCTGCCATTCGTCGTGTGATCACTAACAATAGCGCCTTGGAAGAAGTTGCCATTTACTTCTTCCATGAAGCTGTTGGATTCTCATGGAAATTGTTTGCGTCTTATTTCTGAAGTTTATTTAGTTTGTTTATTGTATCTTATTTCTAAGAACACCCTACACACTTTCTAGATTTTAAAACAGATCGTCGTTAACACCATTCTTTGTGCTATGGTTTATTTGCTTACTTAACATGCTTTATTAACGTGTTGTATGTGCGTCCACTCACAGCTGCGTTCCTATCTTCGAAGCCTATTTCTAACCGCACCCGCTGCTTCCCAATTCATCCCGGTGCGCAGAGCGCCCGTCACTTCGGGGAGCTACCTCTTCATACTGTAGTCAGAATTACAAAGGCTCGCCGTTCACTTACCCTCATGCTTTAAAACTTTTCCATTTAAGAAAATCGATGAACAAATTCTTCCTTGTGACTCGCTCCTGCACTACGTTTATTTTTTATTTATTTTTCTAATTTGGCAGGACTCCGCAAGGCTGTCCGGGATTTCCCTCCGCCCGCCCCCCACCCCCTGGCAGAGCAGATGCGGGGATGGGGGAGGCGAGGGCTGGGCTCCTGCCAGCGTCGCCCCCTCTGGGACCTCCGCCCAGTGCGCCGAGGGGCCGGGTACGCGAAGGAAGGGCGCCTCACTGGCCAGCCGGCCCAAGGCTCCACCTGCCGCCACGCCGCGTCGGTTCTCTCCGTCTCGCTCACTCGCGCTCACACACAAACCCCACAGCTCTCCTTTGGGTCGGAGAAGACAGCAGCCAAAGGGGGCGGGGTTGCGGGAGAGTCCGCTGTGCGTAATCCAGTCCGGGACTTGGCTCCGCCCGGGAGCGGCTGCCTCTCTGGTGACAGAGGAGTAGTGAGCGGCACCGGGTGAGGCTGCAGCCAACTCCGCTCCCCGCGCACTCGGCTGCCCAGGCGCTCGGGACGCAGCAGCGGCGCTTTTCCCCGGGGCTGACCGCCCGCCCGCGATGTCCGCTTAGGAGCGGCGGCAGCGGCCAGCGTCGCCACACCCGAAGCACAGCGCTCCCGGCCGCGGAACGGGGCTGGAGGGTGCACCCTTGCCCCTGCCCCCACCCCGCCCCCCACCCTGAAATGACTTGTTAATCGGCGCAGACACTACCGAAGGGACTCACTGGAGTGGAATCCAAGTGGAATTTGGATTTGGAGAAGAGTTTCTTGAACATTACTCCTTCCTTGTTGTCTTCTTCTTTCTTTTTTTCTTCTCCCCTTCTCCGCCTGTCATTGGAGATGAACACAGAGCGTTTGCATCACAGAAAGTAGTCGCCGCGACTGTTATCCCTAAAGAGGCAAGCACACATGTAGGAATGACAAAGGCTTGCGAAGGAGAGAGCGCAGCTCGCGGCCCGGAGAGATCCCCTCGATAATGGATTACTAAATGGGATACACGCTGTGCCAGCCCGCTCCGAGCCCCGGCCGCCTACCCGTCGATGCACCGAAAAGGTAACGCTGGGCGTCCTGGCGCGCTCCACCTCCCGGGCGGCTCTGCTCCAGCTTGCGGGTCTTGGGGCCGCAGCCCGCACGCGCTGCCTGCTTTATGGTACCTACGTTTTATTTTATCTCGTGCGTCTGCCTCCCGAGCGTGGCCCGGCCTGGGGGACGCAACCGTGAGCCCTGCTGGCCGCTCCTCTGTGCCCTGAGCCGCAGAGACCGGCCAGGCTCCGTGCTTACGGGCTTCCCCACCCGCGCCGCCCGCTAGCCCGGCGCCGCCCGGGGCCGGGACCGCGACTGGGACCGGGACCGGGAGGACGGTTGTCTGGCCCGGGATGTGTGTGGTAGACCCGGGGCTCGTCCTCACTTTTGCACCAGGAGGAAGCAGAGAGGGCCCATGAGAGTGAGATTCTCGGAAGAGCCCTCCCTGTTCTGGTGCGAAAGCAGGGAAAGGGGTTCTGCCCTCGAGAGCTGAGAGGTTGGGTAGAAGAGCTCTGTGTTTGCTCAGCACCAGGTTTGGGTTCTGGGTGGGAGAATGGGTTCCACAGAGACGGTGGGAAAGCAAAGAGAATCTTTTGTTGTCCGCGCGGGGTTTGGGCTGGGCTCTGTGGAGTGCAGGAAACTTGTAATGGCCCTGGTACCCGTGCGCCCTGCCACTTGGTGACATCCCTGTTCCCGCGGCCGCTGGCACCAGAGGTTTCGGGCTTTGTTTGCTCGGAATGAGTGCCCAGGAGCTGTCTCCTCCCGGTGTGGTGTGGCGCCCCCGCCCTCAGCCCTGTCCCTCGCCGCAGCTCCCTCCTAGGCGGTGAGGACAGCACCCGTCGCGGCTGCGTCCTTCCCCTCGATACAGATAGGACCGGTGCCCGCCGCGCCCTCCTCCAGAATCTACGAGGTCCCTCTCTGGAAAGGAGGTTCCCGGGAGATGGAAGGGTGGAAAGACTGGCAAGAGATGGCCCAGTTCTTGCTACCCAGACAAGGGCTCTGCCCCAGCCCCTGATTCTGGTTGTCCGAACTACTAGCTGCGACCTAGAGCGCTGCCTCGCGGGCACTCGGGAACAGTCTGACAATGCCCACCCACCCTGGGGTGGGAAGAGCCTCTTCTCTGTGTTCGCTGCTTTTCTACTCAGCTCTACACTGTGGCACACGGTGCAAAGCAGGATCCTGACGTCCCCTCCCTCTTCCCACAACACCAGCGGTCTAGGGGGAGCCAGGGAGCTCGTGAGTGTCGGGAAAGGAAACCGGACTCCGCTGTCTTTCCCGCTCCCTCTCCGCCTCTCCGCCCCTCGGTCCAGCGCCTCCTCCTCCTTTTCCAGCGTGGGTCACCAGACTAGGCGCTTGTGGAAAGTTTCTCTGAAAGCCAGGGGCAGCGGGCATGACAGGATTGGGGCTCAGTGTGTACCGCCTGCGAGAAACCGAACGCAGAGGAAGCAGGTGGGCAGCCCAGAGTTCGGCTGGGAGCTAGATGCGGGCCCGCGGGTGGACGGTGGTCCGCTGGGTTGGGGCCACAGCGCTGCACTTGCTAGACCAATGTCTCAAGCAGTAGAAGGAGAAGAGTTCAGGATCAGGACTCGGGATGCTGATGCGGCCCCTGTGGCCGTCGGCTGGCGCGCGGGTGCGTGTGGGCATTCACGGGTCGGGCTGGTTTGCAAGTACCAGCCTCCAGCACACATCCCAGCCTCCTGCGCTCCGTGCGCAGTTTCCCAGTCGGCGGGTGTCTAGGGAAGAACAGAGCAGGCAGCCTGGTGTGCGTGCCGCGGGATTGGAACCTGGGTCTTCATAGCCAAAGCAAGCATTGAAGGGGTGTCCTCCGGCCTATAAGCAGTGGGCAGCCCCCCTCCAGCCCTTCGGCGTCCGTCCTTGGGAGAAAGGTGGTTGCTTTGGAGATGCCGTGGCCAGACACGGCCACGGTGGGAATGCTCTCTGTTTATGCTGGATGGAAATCAAGTTGCTACTGAATGTGATCCGTGAGAGGTTTAAAAACACAGGCGCGCACGACACACACTTTCTCACACTCGTGTGCACAACTTAATTTTTTTTCTCAACTCGGAAAAAAAAAAGTTTGACCCTGTTGCAGAGTCCTGCCAGCAGGTCTCGGCAAAGCTACTTGATATCCCTCTCCCACCCCACCCCCACCCCCATCCCTTGCACCCGCAGCGCTGGTTTTAAGTCTTTTCCGAGTAGGAAGGGTGAGCGCCTTTGCCCTGTCTTTCTCTAATCTTGATAATTGTCCATGTTTTCCCTGGGCATGAAGTCCTCAGTTTGCCACTGATGGGGGGGGGGGGGCACTGTTGGTTCTGGGTACATGAATCCTTTATTTAGTTTTTTTCTCCCCAAAAGTAAAGATAATTAGAATATCTTACTTTTTTACACCGTATCCAATTGGCTACTAGAGGTCAAGATTACAAGTATTTTGTATGGTTTTTTAATACCCTGTTTAGTCTGCATGGAGCAGTTTTACGATTTGCAGTAAGCTTTGATTAAACCATTCCAGGCACCAAAGTCAATTATTAACCTCACCTTAAATACAGTGGCAGAACCATGTCTCCACCTATGAACCTAAACTATCTGTTAAAAAATAATTGCACTCACTGTTTGAATTTGGTTTACCCATGCTTGTTTATATGGTTAACTTTAATTTGAATCCTGAGCAACCTGTACTCTCTATTGATATTTGGGTTTCAGGACATTCTGGCATATGAGGGCACTTTCCAAACCTGAAAGCAGAAAAGAATGCACTATCAGATATAAAGCCTTACTTTCCTATTACGTCTTCTTTCAACCTGGTCTAAAGAAGCACTCTAGTTTGTGTTTCTTATTTACGATGTGTTCATGTTTCCTATTTGTGTTCTTATTTACAAAAATCTTTCCCAAAGTGTTATATTTTGCAGTGACCACCTCTTAGAGATGGGCCACATTCCCAGTAATGCATACATATAGTCCACACGTGTCAATCAATGTTCAGCAGACACCCCGAATCTTGACCTCAGGAGCCATCTGCAGAATGCTCTCATTGGATAGGACATCTTATTGGATAGAACAGGTTCAAAATTCATAAGATTCAGTGTAGAACCTCAACTAAATGTTGAATGAGTGAGTAAATAAAATAGTCACACTTAGTTCACATTTCTCCACTTTCAAGTGGAACTGTTTTTACTTCTACAATGAAAAAAATATGCCTTCAAGTATGTGGTTATTATAAAGTGGCAACTCTGTTTACACACACAGACACACACACAAACACCCCTCAAGTTCTTTCAAAGTCTAGTGAATACTTTTCCCATCATTAAAAAAATATATAGCATTTGCATTCTGAGTAGGTGGATAACAATGCCAAGAGTGTTGAGTCAGAAGGATAGCAAGATTAGGAAGACTTATCTTCACTGAATACAAATAAGACACCCAAATTAAGAACTTTTATTAAATTCAAAACAAATACTCAGGCTTTAAAAGCAAATGGGTAATTGTACTCATATGAAGTGGAGGGGAAAGTACTGTTTGGAACAAGGAGATAAGTCAGATACTTAACTCTCTATGTGTGTAGAGCAGTTCAGCTCTTTTCCAAACAGTACAAAGGAGTGATGACTGGAGAAAAAGTTGTCTTAGAACTAGATGGCCAAGAGCTAATGTATTCTCCCATCTTTGTTGTTTGTTTGTTTGCAGAAAGGAACCACAGAACAAGCCGAACTCATTGCAAATACTTTAATTAGGCATCTGCCATTTGCTGCAGTGTAGTGCCTGGGAAAGCCTGCCTGTGTCTCTGTGCTCACCCCTCCCCCACACCCCATCTTCGGATTTAGACAATTGTCCAGCTCCCAGAGTGGGTGCTGCCTGGGTGTTCCCACCTCCCGGGGAAGGTGAAGCCAGGAAGCATTCTGCTGTGCCCTCCCGTATTAATAACCCTCCTCTCTGCCTTGAAGCCAAGTTGTCTCTGTGATTTCTACCCCAGAGTGAAGGCTTTTCTCCTCTGCCTTTGGTGTGCTGCAAGAGCAACTGAGCTATTCTCTGCTGGCAACCACACGATGGCCTCTTGGGGATATGGTAAGGCAGGGAAGGGAGCGAGCCATTTAATCCCTTTGAAATGGGCAAATAAGATATCATACCACACAAACCTCAAGGGGACAAGGGAGTTCAGAATACTTCTCAGCATGGGACTACTACAGTATAGGATATACACCTTGCTTTGTGAAGCTCATGACTTACTGCAAATTTGTTTTACTAGATAGTTCTAATTCTCATTACACTAATGAGGAGTGTCACATAAAACTATCAATACTTTCATGTTTCCCAAAAACCTCTTCTGCCCGGACTTCTCTCCTGTGCCCCTCAACAGCCAGTGCTCACAGGGTAGGTGGCTCCTCTTGGACACATCTCACACACATCTCACACTTAGTATGATCCGAACATCGAATTTCACATCTTTCTCCCCCAAATAAGCTTTTCTTAAAATGTTCCCCATCTTGATAAATGGCATTTCCATCCTTTGAGTTGCTGTAGCCTAAACTCTGGCTCTTGCTCTGTCCACCCCCATTCCAGCTGCAGTGCTGTTGGTACCCCCCCCCCCCCCCCCAGTGCAGGGAGACTTCCTCCAGGGCTCCCACTTCCGGGTGTTCACACTGTCCCAGCCACTGTGCCCCCTGCTGGGTTATTGTGCCTGCCTCTCAGCCAGTCTTCCTGCTTTTCCCTGGGCCCCCTACTGTCTTCACACTGTAGCCAAAGTGAGTTTTTTAAAAGCTAAGCTGGATCAGACCACTTCCATGGCTCAGACGCTTCCCCACTTTGTTTCAGTAAAAGCCGAAGTCCTCAGGACCCCACTTGTTCTGCACTTGGGTCCCCACCTCTCTGACCTCCACTCCTTCTTGGGGTTCCTTGAATATGCCCAGCGTGCCCTCCTTGGTCCTTTGCACGGTCTCTGTACTTCTCCTTTGTGTCCTGGGAAGGGTCTTTGCCCAAGATGGCTGCATGATTTGTTCCTCACGTGCCTTAGGCCTCTGCTCAGTTGTCACTTTCTCACCGAAGCCTATGCTGACCACCTTATTTACATTTACTTCACCCTTTCCCCTCAACACGTCCTACTCCCGTGGCCTGCCTCATTTTCCCTGCACTTTTCACAACCCAAAAAGCTCTATGTTGTCCTAATTTATTTCACCTTCCACTAGAACATAATGCTATGAGGATAGATATCTTTATGTTTGATTCGCTGCTGTACCTCCGGCACCTAAACCTAGCACATCCTGGGCCCTCCAGGACAAGTGTCTGTTGAGTGAGTGCATAAATGAGTGAATGATGAATCTTGCAAACAACTAGTCTTTATTTCATCTCTTCTGTCTGCTCATTTTCCTATATTGTTTCCATCAAATGAGCTATCTTCCTGCCTGCATAAGTGTGCACATGCACATGTGTGTAACACTGTCTTCCGTGTGCCTAGCTGGTATGTCTCATGCATCATTAGGAGAGCACTCACTATGGGTTGTTTTCCCAGGCTTGGTGATGGGCTGGAGGCTGCTCATTCCCACACTCTCACCCAGTCCCCTTCTGTGGCCAAGAGCACACATCTGTGGGACACCTGGTTGAAGCTGGAGGGAATCTGAGTTAGGTAAAATCAACTTGCCAAGAAACTGAGCTAAGAGACAGCCAGCATTTATGGGGATTGAGCTTTTGACCTTGGACTCATTTGTTCTGCATTCTAACCACTGGCCTCAGAACCTTCTTGCTTTTTTGGAGTTTACTAATAGTTTTTAAAATTCAACTTTCTACCAGGGGAAAATAGTATGTCTGTTGGCCCACATTCCTGCCCTGAGCACACACAGTGGTAACTGTCGGTGAAGGTCCTGAACTTGGAGTCAGAAGACCTGGGCTCCAGACACTTACTGTCTTGGACAAGCCACTTAACCTCTCTGAAGCTACATTATTTTAAATAAAAATTGTGAATAGTATGCTCCCTAACTTGCAGGACTGCTGTATCAGTAAGACAAAATCGGGAATGTGAATGTACTAGGTAAAATATGAAATGTACTCTGGAATTGGAGGTTTGATGCTGGCTCCCCCCTCCCCAGACCCTAGGCCTGGTGGAGATCCTACCTCATTGTCTTCCAAATCAGGAAAGAAGTTACACTCCGTTGATGTGATTTTAGTGCAAACATTATGAAATCAAGTAAGATTTGCCAATGCATTGAAAACACAGCCTTAGTAATGAGAATGCAGTTGAATCCAGTAAAGATTGTTTCAGTGTGACCATTAAATGGGGCAAAGGCATGGGAGTGGCCCTCGGCCGGTCATTACAAACAAAGCAAGGGCATTGTTTTTGCTTAGCTCAGTTCTAAACTGGCTCACTTTACTAGTACACGTTGATGTGGAACAGGCATGTCCAAGTGAACTAGGAGTAGTCAGAGAAATGTTTAGATCTTTGCTGTAACAAGGGCAAGTTCATTAGATTTTGTGGTATGAAGTTTATAAAGGTGGAGGGACTGTCACGGGGGAGGCAGCAGACGGGTCTGGAGGGGATGCAGGGGTCACGCTTCTTAAGTAGACACAGCACACTTGGATCTGCATCCCAGTTTTTGCCATTTACATATTTGAGCTGTTACTTAACTCAGCTGCCATCTGTAAGATGCTAGTAAGATGATAATGCGGGTTGTTAAGAAGGGTAAATAAGATAATACCTGTGAAATGGGTAGCACAATGTCTGGCACACTCACACGCATTCATTAAGTGTGGGGTGTTATTTTTATTTGGGTGACAGGAGTGCAGGGGCGTGTCCTGGTGGGGGACTACAGAAGGAAATGCCCACAACCCTGCAACATAACGAGGTGATGCAGAGGAAACAACCTTTGGACTAGAAAGGAGCATTTGCGCCGTCCCATGGCCGTAGTGTCAGGGGTGTTAGGCTGAGAAGCATGTGAAAAGTCACTTCCACGGAAAGGGGAGTCAGGACCCTTTTCCTAACTCCGGACGTTGAAATATCACACCCGAGATGGAAGGAAAAAACAGCATACAAACAAAACAATAGCAAGTAGCGCAGGGCTCTGCATCAAATGAGAGCCCAAAGAAGAGTTGTTTTTAAAGAAGCAATAGTCTTCACTTACTAACTTGGTAAGAATAAAACACAGGATCTGAATCCACTACAGAATCTGAGGGCGCGCACATTTGGCACCTGAGAACAGCCTGCAGATGTTCAGGTTGAGCTGGATGGACCCAAGCGCCATAGCTGTGATGGGAGAGATTGGAGGCCGTTACTGATTTTTGGAAGAGGGTCTTCACGTGGCCATACACTCACTGGGTCACTCTTCCCAGGCCAAACCTGAATTCACTTGGAAGAGCACGAAACACCAGGCGGAAGCAAACCATTACCTTCCCAATAAACTTAGGAGATAGTTGGCTGACCCCAACAAAGGCAGGATTGACTCCACGACTGATCCACTGACGTACAGTTTGAAATTTGATTGAAATGATAGTCATGCTCGTTTTTATCAGAAGAATCTGACTCCCAACAGGCCCAGCAGAAGGGGCAGTAAGTTGGTGTTATCACCGTGTTCCCCGAAGGGCCCCGGCTGTGCCCGGGAGGAAGAGAATCTCTTGTGGCAGTTACAGGTATTTTCATGTAGGAAAAAAAATGTTTCCTCTTAAATTTTGTAAAGAGAGAAATAAATCAGCAATGAACATGCACCAAAGACTGAAGGGCCAGATCATTCTGAGCAGCGAGAGTGATAACTGTTGCTTTGAAAGTGTCGTTCGCAATAGAAATGTCCACACCCAGCCTATGGACCTGAGGCTTCCACTTAATACGACTCAGCGCTTCTGCGGTTTTCCGCTAACCGGCAACTGCCATCTGTAGAAAATTTAATTCAAAGAATCCCTGCCAATTACAAAATTTAGCAGGAGAATCTCTAAAATGGATGCTACTTACGCTTCTCTTATCCCTTCTACCCTCCCATATGTTTAAGACGTAGCCCTTGGCCATGATGTGATTTGAAGCGGTGTTAGCGCAGGAGATAGCACTGAACACAATGAAAACATGCCATTGGAAAAATAAACATTTTGGGGACTGGGACGGAATAAAGTATATTAATTATGGTTTAATGTTATATGAGACTTTTACAGATGTGCTTTCTGCAGTGCATCCATTTTTTTTCTCATTCCTGAACCTTTTAAGGAGACTATTCAGTCTTTTCATTAATACTGCAGCACCTCCAGCACTTCTGCCCCCCTCCCCCAGACTCCAACTGTCCATGAATGAGGAAACTGAGAGAACACTGATTGAGCTGGTGGATGGAAATGTTCCTTTCCTGAAAATGGAATGCTTTATGAAAAACTGCATTCCACAAAAAGACTCAAACAATCCAACAACCAGGTCTCCTCCTTTTCACCCCAGAGAACCACATGACTTCATTCACACATTTTGGTCCTTGAGTGCATCAGTACTCAGGCCCTCAAATACCCAGGTGGAGAGCCGGTCTATTAATATCAAGCCTTTCATTATTCTAAAAACGTGAACATCAGAGTTGTAAGAACATTCTCGTCTCAGCATAGTGAGTGATAAATACAAACCAAATGGTTCACTGCATTCTAAACTGGAGTACAGGTAGCGGGTGGATTTTTGTAAGAATACTTGTTAATGGTTTTTGAGATGGATTCTGTGCTAATTCTTCTCGCATCATGAATGATGGCCCCAGCCAGACACTGTCGCTGGGATCTTCATCTATTAATCATGGAGGCTGCTTTCTTATTCGGTTGCCATAGTTTCAGTGCCTCAGATAGTGTTGGGGTGTCTTGGGAAAGGTCTGAGATAGACTAGGGCTTGCAAGACTGGCGGTTATGTTGGCAGTGGTGGTGTTCCGAAAGAACCGAAAACCACTCCTCGCCTAATTTAGTGCTGGATTAAAAAGAGGCAACTTCTGAGAGTGTCTCTCTGGACCTTGTTATGTGCACAGCCAGCTGATATGCACGCCAGGATTTGCCTCTTGCGCAGTCTTGCTGGGAAAAAATTACAGTCCAGAGGCTGATGTCACTTTCATCCTTCGACAAGAAAGCACAAGGGTGCAGACTTCACGTTAAAGCTGCTCATAAAGGTGGAGGCAAACGAGGGCATTCGTGGCTCCGCTCAAAATTTCAGTTTCATAATTTGGCTTTGGCCCTGTAGATTGCTAAATAAATAAAGTGACCTCAAGAGTGTTGTATGCTGCGCACGGGTCTGGCAGTGTAAACATTCAGTGCTTTACTTCAGGTTTCACCTTTATTTTTTTTAGGTCTAACACACATTACTGAGGAGCCAGGGACCGTTTCCCTGTGTTTTACAACCCTGGCACCTAGGGCTGCTGCTTTGTCAGCTGTTGAGGATATGAGCATTTTTTCCTTTCTGTAATTGTAATGTTTTGGCTATTTCGTTTTTAGGTTTGTGACTTAGGGGTCGATTAGGAAAAGCTCTCCAGTTGTGGGCACACTGTGTGACCGAGTCAAGAAAAGATGTGGAGAAGTAAATTGCTGCAAGAGGGAGAGCCACACCCTGGGTGTGTGGTGTGGAACGTAGCTTTCCTTTGTCGCGCGAATTCGGCCCCCTGTGACCGATACCACTGGAACACTTCCTAATGTTCTCCTTCCAGTTTCTCAAGTGGACTTGCGAGGACTCCTGGCTGTCTAGGCCGAGCCATTAAATTCCTTGCAAATTAAAACATAATAAAATCAGACAATCTCACACGTGATGCAGACAACACTGAATGCAGGACATGCAAAGGGCATCGCATTCAAATCCAGGCAGATTCAGAAGAAGAAAACCTGTACCTCATTACAATTGGGCCTAATCTAGAAAATTGGTCACTTTTTATTTTTTACTAGAAAATGACTACTTTTTATTTCAGGATGAGCTTCGAAGCTACTGTTTCCAATTTCCCCGTATCCAGCTTGCCCCAGTTTTTGCGTAAGGTCCACAAGCGTTTTTAATGCACGTGCCTATTCTATTGACCCCTCCCTCACCCAACCACATGAAATGATTGATTTTAGAGGCCAATAATTTGAAGTAAATTAAAAGGATAACATGGCCTTAATTGCTACTGGCTTCACCAGGCTTCTGGGCACCGGAATTCCTTGTGGAGAAACACTTCCAAGTGCCACAGCAGTTTTTGATCATGTGGTCTGGCGAACCCCTAGGCTGCAATCATCCGCCCAGCCCTTGCCAAGGCCCCCCGCAAACACCTCCATGAGGCAGAACGAACACACGTTTTTAAATTCAGTATTATGGACGCCCGATTATTTGACAGGGTAGAAAAATAGGTCTTGAAAATTTCATAGTATTCTCATAAGTTAGTTGTTTTAAGTGGAGGGGTGGAGTAGGAGAGAACAGTGGAACTAACATTTCAGATCGGAAGGTTTCTGCGTTGGGAGAGGAGTTGCTGTGAATTCAGTCTGCTGTCCTCTCCGCAGTAACAACACTGGGATTAGTTTTGGGTGTCCAGTCAGTCACCATATCACACACACAGCCTTAATCAAGCAGTACTTTCGTGTGGCTGTCAGTCAAATACAATGTGGACTTGAATTAACCTTAATTAATGATTTCTGATGACAGATTTTGTTCTGTGCCTTCGAGGCACGCAATGTATTTCGGGGGAACGTTCAGACGGCAGCACCTCGAGCCGCGTCTGTCCCCTGGCCTTGCCCAGCACGCCGGTTCCCAGTACCTGAGCAGTGTGGTTCCCTGTCGTTGCAGAGTGGTCGTGTACAGAGTAACACGCCACTTGGAGGACAACGAGTTTGTAAGGGACACGGAGGACTTAATCTGTAGGTGAACCGTTTTTAGTTTTAAAACAATATTCTTATCAAAATAGCTGGTATTTACCGGCTCCTAGCTGAATCTAAGGCTGTTTATTCCTTCCAAAGATTGAATGGGACTTGGAGTGGTGCCTCAGTGCGTTCAAGCAAACGCTGCTGTATGCAGGGGGCAGGGGCCTAAGCGCCATTTCCTTTGCCCGAAAGTTTCCTGCAAGTGTGAAAAAACAAAGACCAGGGAATATCATAGGCATTGGAGAGACACCGGCCTTACTTCCTGTAGAAAATGCTTTTTCCCTATGTCTTTGTGAGTTTTAGACCTGGTATCAAGAAGCTGAATTAGATTGTTAACAAACTATCTACATTCAACTTTTAACTAGAGGGTCTAATAAAAGTTAGATAATAAATTAATGCCAACTTATGAATTAAATTCCTGTGACTAATCATTTTGTAGCTTATATGATGAAACTAATAGCACAGAGCTCATCTAGTTTAGCATAATTTGTGCTTATTATCATTGCTTTGCTTTTACAATTAAGCTTACTGATCTATAAGCAACTTAATGAGAAATTACCTAAATGAAATTGATTTACAGTATTTGCTGCAGTGTGTTCTAGGGTAGTGATTATGTGTAAAATAATTCTCAAGATTGTCGTCCCACCACACACAGTATGGTTTCATGTTTAGCAGAAATAAGTCAGCGCGGTGTCACGAGCCCGCGATTGCCCAGCCAAGAGGAGCTGCTGCTGGTGTCCAGAGTATGTAGAAAGAACGAAGTAGTTTCACTTGTGGCCAAGAGAAAAGGTAACAAACATCTTTTGGATGTGTTTCTCTTTTAAAGGGATGTTCAGAGTGCAGGAAAAAGTTTTCTATTAAAAAGTCAACTTTTATCTACAAGGTGTTTCCTCTCATTTGTGATGAGAGGAAGTTCAACATGTCGAATGTGTTGATTAATTAATTCCCATGGGATATCTTAGAGGGCGGAGCTTTCATTTTCATATTTTGTCATGTCCAGAACACAAGACCTGTTACTATTGCCCCAACACATCCGTTCCCAAGAAGGAAAAGGACACATAATTGCCTGTGCTGTTAGAAAACACCCACACCCAGCTCCCCAGCAGATCCCACAACATGCCAGGTGTGCTAGAGAAGGCTTTGAAATGTTGTGAATAGCTTGACATTAGCACGTTGTTATTGAAATGCAAATTATTCCTTGCAGAACTTGCAAAGGTTTTAAATGTAAATGTAGGACTGGGGCAATATCTTTTCTTGCATGTTGTCAGCTATACCTAATCTTAACTGGAGGGCTTGTTCTAGTCAAAGTAATCACACTTCATTTGCATATTCCATTGTCTTTTGGTGCCTGTGTTTAAAGTGCAGACACACCTTCTCAGGATGTCACCTTGTTGGGAGAGGACAGACTGGCTTCCAGCTGTGCGCTGCCTGCCCTGGGCTGACTGTTCCCAGGAAGGAGTCTTGCTGAGCCCCACATTAGATTTAGAAATCAGGCTTACTGATGACGATCAACATCAGCAGTATGCACAGTGTTATAATGAATAAGAGAGACCTCATTTACAAAGTGTTTATAGTTTTCAAACTGCCTTTATAAACATTGCCTCATTTAATATCATTACATCCTGGGTTAGGCAAGGCAGGTACTGTTATGCCCGATTTAAAATGAGATAACTGAGGTTCAGAGGGGTCAGATAATTTACCCAAGAGCATACCTCTGGTAAGGGAAGGGCTTGGGACAAGGTCCCCAACCTTCTGAATCTGAGGGTTGTGCTCCTCCATGTTATTTCACTGTTGACTCAACGCTCCAACATTTTAAAATACGATTATAGTCTTCCAACCATAGATGTTCTCGCGTTATGCCTACTCTTTGAATTGAATACAACACAGAACAAGTTTAGAAGTAGCTTTCCAAGGACGTCACCCGAGGCTTTAGTGCAGTTGGGACCTGAATTCCTGCCTGAATGCCATTTCTAGACCTTGTCCACCGAGGCTCTCGGGGTCTTGAGCCGTCATCTGAAGGGAAAGTGGCTGAGAAATGGGGGCTGTTTTCATTGGGGATTCTAGTACTGGTTTATAGTAGGCATAAAAACAAACAGTGATGATAAGGATGGGAACTTTGGCCCTGTTGCAGGGTGACGAGGCACAGGAGGTGGAGCTGACACTCTGGCACCGTAGCCTCCTGGGCCTTGCAAACATATACCTGAAAAGCAGACATGTTTTTAGCAAGGAATAAAGTGGCATGACACAGCCGAAGGGGGTCTTCCCTTTGACAAAGTCATTT